TCGCTCATATTTCGTGTTGATCTTTAATTTTTCCCTTTCAAATACCTACGATAAAAATTAAAAATTTCCCCGAAATAGAGACAATCCGTGCAAAAACTTGATTGAGCAACTTTCACATATAGCAAACACAAAATTCATATTTGTATGTTATAACAAAGTTTGCATAATTGAGCTCCATAGCAAACATAAATATGTATATTTCGCTATACATATACAAAAGAAAGCAGTTGTATAATCTGCTTTGGTATACATATACAAAAAAATCAATTGTATAAAGTGAGAGAGTCGAGTGAGCGAGCGAGATCTGGCAGAGTGGCGAGCGAGATCTGGGAGAGGGGAACGAAAATATATGTATATATACAATTTTCACGCATTTTATACATTTGCGTTTTTGTATAAAGTGAGAGAGGCGAGTGAGAGAGCGAGATCTGGGAGAGTGGCGAGCGAGATCTGGGAGAGGGGAACGAAAATATATGTATATATACAATTTTCTCTCGCTTTATACAAACACAAACGCACTTTATACACTTGCATTTGTATAAAAAACAAGAGAGGCAAGGGAGAGAACGAGAGTGGCGAGCGAGATTCACCAAGAGAGAGGTGAAATAGCAACAATTTGCTATGAGGTACAATTAAATCAAACTATATTTATAGCATTTAATTTGAATTAATAGTTTGCTATTATATACAATTTTCCCTACTTGATTTCATGTTGTCCCTTTGGAGTTGGGCCAATGAAGTATTTCGTGGAAGCCCAAATTAAAAGGGTTTTCACAAGCCCAGATTTTTTTTACTTCATAAACCCTAAGCACACTCTTCCGCCTCTCACTCTCCCATTTTCGCTCTGAGAATCAGCAAAAATGCAGAAGCAAGAAGCAGCCGCAGCTACGGTGGAATCCGTCCAATGCTTCGGGAGGAAGAAGACGGCAGTGGCGGTAACTCACTGCAAGCGTGGACGTGGTTTGATCAAGATTAACGGTGTCCCAATCGAGCTTGTCCAGCCGGAGATCCTCCGGTACAAGGCCTTTGAACCAATCCTTCTCTTAGGCCGTCACCGTTTCGCTGGAGTCGATATGCGTATCCGTGTGAAGGGAGGTGGTCACACTTCTCAGATCTACGCTATCCGTCAGTCGATTGCGAAGGCACTTGTTGCGTTTTACCAGAAGTTTGTGGATGAGCAGCAGAAGAAGGAGATTAAGGATATTCTCATTCGCTATGATAGGACTCTCCTTGTTGCTGATCCTAGGCGTTGTGAGCCTAAGAAGTTTGGTGGTCGTGGTGCTCGTTCTAGGTTCCAGAAATCTTACCGTTGATTTCAATCTTCAATACTCTGGATTACCATTTACGGTAATTGAATTAATGTTTTTGTTAGTGTCCTTTCGGTGTTTTGCTTAAAGACCATATTTGGTTTTGGGAGGCTTCTAGTTAATTTTTGCCATGTTTGTTTTTTCTTGCTGAAACTTTTACAGTGCTATGATATTGTTAGTTTCAAATTCCCAATTTGCTTTCTTGTTTGCAAGATTTACTTACTTGCTGATAATGTTGTGCTCAATTAACAATCGTTTCACTGTTATCATAGTTCTTGTGATGGTTGGTGGGTGACCACTGAAAATGTAAGAGACCAACCCTAATTTTATGTTGGCTTAAACTAGAAATCAGCCAATTTTAGTTCCGAAGTTCGGGTTTTCTAGTTTCCAACCTCCTGAGTCCTGGCCTTTGGCTAGAAGATTGTCAATTAAGTTAAGTTCCAATTGCACACAGAGTATCCTAACTTCAGACATTGAGTTTGAAGTTAAGTTTGGCTTGTCCAATATCAGACCTTTGGTCTTGGAAGGTTAACTTTGTTGAATGTATGAAGTTCAAACTGCACAAGCAATATGCTACTTCAGACATTTGGGTTCATTGTTAGGCTTGGCTTGTCTCCAACTTTCATACCTTTGGGGTGGAATATTGCCATGCCTAAAAATTAGACTCGATTGTTTGATCGGCACACACATTTGCTAACTTAAGATTATCGGTGTGTTAAATTCCTCAACTTCAAGCATGTCTGTTTGAACTTTAGAACTTTAGGTATGTATATTTGATATTTGGAACTATGAACTCATTATTTCACTTAAGTTTTGTAAATCTAAGTTGACTTTTAGGCAATTAAACCTTGTAAGACTGTTGTGTTTCCGCTAGTTCTTGAATAAGCGTCCTAAATATGTTTATTTTCTAATTAGGGTTTTCAAATAAATTAGCTTTCCCATGTGTATATTTATGGTTCAGTTTGGTCAAAATATGCATGAATACACGGTTGATCATATCTCATGTGTAAACTATATGGCGGAATGGTCTGGTGGACCCTTGTACTTGTATGTGTTTGTATTGTGAACCCTTCTACTTGTTCCTTTGTCATCTGAACCCCTGAACTCATCAAAACGCAATATTTTAAACACGTTTTTTACCACTCAACTGTGTGTGTATCACAAACGCCTGCCACGTAATTTTAAAAATAATTATAAAATGACACGTATGATTATAAAATGACACATGTATATATGGTCACTCCATGTCATTTTTCCTTTTATTATATTTGATTAATATACCTACACTTTCTCTTTCCAATTTTTATTTCTCTTTGCCATTGCCATCTGCATCTCCATCCCCACAATCTCATTTCAACTTTTTCTTATCTTCCTTACCCTTTTCCTTTTTCCAACCTCTTCTACTCTTTCCATTGAAGTAAAAAATGTTGGCACGATTTTTGGTTGTTCACAATCTCGTTGGAGTTCGGATTTGATTTTGGGTTATGTTGAATTGGGGTTTTGGTGGTGACCGATGGTGCTAAGGAAAAGTGGGGGTCTATTGAGTGGTTTGATTGTTTCTAGTTGTTCACAACTGGCGGCGTTGTGAAAGTCGCAACTTATTGGCGGAGTTAGTTTGGGGTTTTTGTTGTTGTTGTTGTTGTTGTTGGTTCTCATTTATAGTTGTTGGTTGAAGCTTGTCGGAAATGATGAGAACGAAGGTAGTTTGGTCGGTGAAGGTGAGGAGGACGAGAAGAAGGCAATAAGTTTGGGTTTGGTTTGGAACTGAAACAAGGGGTCAATGTCAAAAATTATTTGAGTTTTTTTGTTTGATTTTCAACTTATCTAGGTAGGTTTTCCAATTTATTTTCGAATTTATTTGTTGTTTAGTTTGGATTTGATCTCTATTTGTGTCTTTGTTTGGTTTTGGGGTTTTAATCAATTACATTGACTTTGTTGAAATTCTTTGGGGATTTTGCATTTTTGTGCCTAATGTTAGTGTAAGATATTTAGGTAGTAGTGTTATGCCTTCCATGGTGTTTTTCATAGAAAAAGAGAGCCGTATAATAACAAGAAACGATAGAGAAGAAATTTTTGGGAAAAAGATCGGAAAAGAGGCCAAGAAAACTTCAAATTTTGTCCAACAATGGTGTTAGATGCAAATAGGAAGATGATGGCTTTACAAAGCAGTGACTGTCAGACCCTTTTCCAAGGGTCTCACGCTCCTAATATGTGTGTGTCACACGCTCTTTAGTAGTAACTGCCACATAGGATGCCAAGTCAAAAAATGTGTTTAAAATATTGCGTTTTGATGAGTTCAGGGGTTTAGATGACAAATGAGTAAGTAGAAGGGTTCACAATACAAACACATACAAGTACAAGGGTCCACAAGACCATTCCGCCAAACTATATTGGACAAATACACATGAATCAGTAATAGGCACTGCATTGTATCAACACAAAGGACAATCAGTGTATAGAATTCGGAGAATATAACATGATACAATACATTGTCAAGAATAACATAACGATTAAGATGCCAAGGAAAAGCAAAAATAAAATAAAATGTGGTAGTGACCTATAGGGTACATAGGTAAATATCATGCAGTTGGAAGTTGCCAGATTAGTATTTAGTTGGATGGAGGAGGTGAATTTGTAGGAATAATATTTGGAATTGTGGGAATGTTTGGAAGGGATGGCATGTTGGGTAGAGGAATGCTGGCAGGCATTGGTGGTAGAGTCATCTTAGGCACAGAGGGCAATGTAGGGAAAGAAGGTAAAGGTGTATTAGCTGTTGGAAGTGTTGGCAATGATGCAACGCTTGACAATGGTGGCAATGTGGCTGCTGTTGGCAAGTTTGGGATAGCGGGCAATTGTGGCACTGTGGGTTGAGGCAATGAAGGGATTGTAGGCAAGTTAGGAAGTTGCAGTAGGCTACGAGCAGCATGACTTGTAGTGATGCTTGATATGGCCAATAATGCTACCATCAACAAGAGGAATGAGCAGTTGCTGGAAGCGGCCATTGTTATATAATTTGCTAGATTGTTTTTTATTAGAAGGAAGTTAAGTGTGTTTTGTTTTGACTTGATGAGATTGTCATCAATAAAGGATATATATATATATATATACAGGGAAACTTCTTGAGGGGTACTAGGATTTGGTGAGATGTTGGGTGAGGAAGCTTGGACTTTTAATTCTAAATACTGTGTTGTTAGTTAACCTTCCCAAATGTTGTTTTTAGGTTCGTTTGATCTTTTATTAATAGAGATGTTTTCTGATAGTAGTTATGCATATATGAAGTTTGGATCAACCATATTTGGTGGACAATTCATTCAAATTGATTGAATCATTTCTTTTTCTTTTTTTTTTACAAACGAATACCATTCTCTATTGGTGACCAATTATGTCTAAAGATAATTTCATCAATTCCAGCGGAGACAAAAATATAGGAAATTCTTTCCATTTGTTCTAGCATTGATGGACTGAGGTACACTTAGTATTTGTTGTTTGGGAAGAAGTGGGGGATATAAATCTCATGAAATTAGTTGAGATGCGTGAAAGCTGATGCGGACAGCATGATCATTAAAAAAAGAAAAAAGATAATTACATTGATGAGGTTGAACTAACAATTAAACATCTTATATATTTCACTTTCTCTATATATATACCCTTCTAAGAATTGATCAATCTCACTCAAATTTGAAAATAACTTCCATTTCTTCATTTCCTTGAAACCAAGTAATATTTGTCAAATTGACACAATGGTTGCTTTCAACAATGGCTCAATCCTCTTATTGATGATAGCATTGTTGTCCATATCAAGCATCACCACAAGTCATGCTGCTCGTAGCCTACTTCAACTTCCCAACTTGCCTACAATCCCCTCATTGCCTCAGCCAACAGTGCCACAATTCCCTGCTATTCCAAACATTCCAACAGCAGCCACATTGCCACCATTGCCAAGTGTTGCATCGTTGCCAACGCTTCCAACAGCTTCTCCATTGCCTACATTGCCCTCTGTTCCGAAGATGACTCTGCCTCCATTGCCCGCTAATATTCCTCTGCCCAACATGCCATCATTTCCAAACATTCCTACGCTTTCACCTCCTCCATCCAACTGATCTCGCGGCTTCCAACATTTTACCTGTCTTGCCCATATGGTCTTTACCGTTTGATGTTTAGCTCTTTCGTTGTCTCAATCTTTTTGATTCGTATCGATGTATCCTATCGTTTGTACCGTCTTGAGTGCTCTGTATTGATTGTCCAGATAAACTTTGTATTAGTTAAGGTGATGCAATATTCTATTTTTGATTTACCCATGTTCATTCGTCCAATTTAATTTTCAGATAAGAAAAAAAAATTAATATTGTTTGCAAAATTTTGACTGCAAGTTGCGTATAATTCAGATATCGTTGCCTTGGTCCTCAAAGAAAGTGATATGACAGATGAAGAATGGTTCAAATGAATGTAGAGAAACCTAACTAGGTAAAAAGAGCAAGTCTCATTAAATGATTATGAGATTAATAATAATGTTATAATGTCATGTGTTTGGATAGACTCTTTAAAACCTAACCATCATTAATTAACATATATTTTACTTCAAAATCACTTGACGATTGTTAATTATATTAATTTGGTATAAACACTTGATGTAGATAAGTTGTTATGATCAGAATGTTCACACAAACATATAATGTGTAACATGTGTTTGTTAGACGTTTACACCAATTAACCATATGATTGGTTACTGGTATTGAATAGTTTAACTCAATGTAAGTATATATATATATATATATACTGAATTAAGTAGGAATACATTCAAGAAAGAAAAATGAAAAGACATGACCCTTGCATCTTTTTGTGTTCTTTTTCAATTTAACATTTTTTTTTCTTTTTTTTTCATTGCATCACTTCACCTAATGAACGTATGATTATATTTGAATAAGTTGTTAAAATCTTTGTCGTTCTAAAATTCCAGTTCGACTTCCATTTTAATTTTCTTTTTTAATTCAAAATTATGACATACATCTGTTGAAGGATGCAAGCTGAAGAATATTGGCGTCATGATGAATTTGTTCACTGGTATATCATGAAGCTATTTAAAAAGGCTTAATGCATAATCAATAGTTAAACTTATCAAATTATTCTATTTAGACACTCGAATTAAGTTTTGCTTCAATTAAACACCTTAAATCCTAACTAAATGTTCCAATCAAGAATCTGTTAGGTAACTAAGCTGACCAGTGGTGGAACTAGAATTTTTAATAAGGGGATTCAAAATTTGAAGAACTAAACACACAAACTAACTGAGGGGGTTCGACATCTACTACATATACCTAAAAAATAATTTTAATCATATATAAATAGTAATATTTTCCGCCGAAGGGGTTCAGATGAACCCCCTAACAGAGGGCTGGCTCCGCCCCTGACGCTGACCACATAAAATATGTCATTTATAAACCATAATATCTCAAACGTTTTCTATTTGAGTTCAACTGTGAGGTAACTAAGCTGACCACATAAAATATGTCATCTCTTTTAATTATACACATATAAACCATGAAATCTCAAACGTTTTCTAGTTGAGTTCAACACATATTGACATATTTTATCTGATTAACTTATTACCTATGTAACTCTTGAGAATGCACATAATTTTTTTTACAAAATTTGAACCAAAACTAGAACACTTTATTAGTTGTTGAGTGTCAAATTGAAACATGACTTAGTTCGAGTGTCTAAATAAAATATCTTGACAAATTTAAAAAGCTGACATATAAACTTGGATTGAAGTAAAGCTATGATTGATACAAACGTTCAATTGAACAAAAAATGGGTGAAGGAACACCTACTATGATACGTATTGGTAAGACATAAAAGAAAGAAAAACGAATTCTAATAGCAACTTTGTCCATCTGATTAAAAATATCAAACAGAAAATTCTAAAATGGCGCCGCTTTAACAAGGATGAGCCTTGTAGTGTAATTTATGTTTACTTTCTCGTCGTGTAATTTGACAATGTAGATGTTGACACAAACACTCATAACAAAAATGTCAAGACATCAGAGTACAAGCAAACCTGGGAAGAAAAGAGAGAAGACAACATGTTCTATGTTGGAGATAGAAATGGCTTCGTAGAGCTCGTTCCTTCCAACCCGAGGTCCAAGGGCCGCAAACATGGAGGAGAATAAGCATCAAGAGCCTTACGGACATTCTCCTCCTCCAATCTATCCTTCTTGTCAAGATCATCATTATTTTTGGCATCCTGATGAAAAATACCATAACATAAGCTGAAAAACCAAATAAACTCACAAGAGGATTTTTCCATGAAACAAAGCAAGAGTTGTCGTGAGGACCAACAACATCGAGCTGATCACAATCCTAGCAACTCTTGGTCAACGTTCGCCAAAATGACATCCAACATCAAAATTTTGTGATAACTGATACAACTTAGCCTTGATTGAACATTTGTGCATTTAAAAAAAAAAAAAAAAAGATAAAACATATATAGAGACAACTAGTGTAGACGTCACAAATGATTTTTCCTTGTTATGCAATTTTTCGCTTCACTTAGGGGAACATGCAGTCCTTCCAAAGCAGCCCAACATACTTTGCTCACTTTTGAGGGGCAACACACAAATACATCGTTTGGTATTTTTTTTCTAGTCAAAGAAGAAGCGGTTTGTGATCAGTTAGAAAAATCATTTTTCCAAATGTGATCTGCATCCTTAATGAACAGAATTCTCTACAAGGTCTAAATCATTTTTCCGGTCATGATTCACATTTTTAATGAACATAACTTCCCCACAAGCTCCAGCTAGAAATAGATGGAATAGGATGCTAGAACGTATAGCTCAATGCTGACCCACAAATACAACCAAATTTACATTGCAGTGGAGTTCTTTATGTAACTTTCATCGGCTTCCCTGGAGTTCTCCTTTGAGAGGGGGAGGGGAAAGGAATTTCTGGAAGGTGTCAATGAAAAGAGTAATTACCTGAACTGAAACTTGGTTGAAAGTAGGAAGAAATCGAATCTTGCAATATTCGTTAAAGAGAATAGTGATGACCATGAGAGGGATAACGGAGAACGAAGCTGAGGGCTTGGCTTTCAATCCAAAAAGACCGATCATTGTGACTTGCATAAGTATGATCGCAACTATAATGTAGTGATGAATGTATGGCCAATACAGACCACATGTCTCGTATGTAGTTATATACACATCTTCAATCTGCATCACAAATAACATTTCATTATACATTATCCTCCATATTTATTCTAAAATATTTGAGCTAACCTGCAATACAGAAGCACCAGATAAAGTCCATAAAATATATACTTCATATCAACAGGATACTTAAACCCTGGTGATAACAATGTAGTTTAAGGTGTAAAAAAACCGAATGTAATAACAGCTAATAAGAAAACTTAACTTGTAGCAATCCCCTTAACAGAAGCAAACTAGTTACTGACGATAAGAACTACCACTGTTTAGCAAAATGAAAAAGCATGAAAAACCCAGACAGTGAATATCAAGGGCTTGTAACAGTCTTGAAAAGGAAGTCCAATAAAACACAAAAAAGTTGATCTGCTTCATGTAAGTATGTATCAGTGGTACAGGTGTACTTTAGCAGGTAAAGCACAGAAATCTGCTACAAATCTGAAGAAAAAATATACATAGCACTTAAAACTTCATAAATCTAAAACGTTATTTACATATCATTGTAGGTTTGCATCATCCGTAAATTCACCAATGACAACAGGTGTAACACGATATATTATCAAAGACAACGTTGGACTCAGGAAAATGTTACATAAGTTGTTCACAGTTTTAACTCAAGTTTTTGACCAGTATAGGAGATCTACCTCAAAGCAAAGAAAGTACAAACTACAGTGGGTCAGGCTTATAAACAGATTGTTCTTAACGCACAAATATTGCATGTAGAGAAACTTCACCTGGTTGATGAACACCGCATATCCAAGCAGGAAGTAGCCTACTAGAAATGGAAGAAGCAAAGGTGAGACCACTGCGTAGACAATCCCAATCAGCATGCAGAGAGCAACAAAAGGGACAATTCTATAATAAGGTAGTGAATAAACATAAGGATGTTTCTTCTTTCCACGGTCCCATGTGTAAAATTTTAGAGTATCCCATAGGAGTAATCCTGGCTGAAGTATCTCTAAAGAGAATCCTGCCAGCCCATTTGTCAGGATGTACGTCACGAAGAAATCTGCCTGTAAGGACAGAAAGAAAAATGTAAATGCAAAGATTAATCATCTACATGTAAAGTAAAATATATAGACTATGATAGGCCCTATAGGTTCTTTATTAGGCTACAGGCAGGTAAAAATCAAAGCATCAACTGAAAACGTGTTCCCATCCATCTTTTCCGATCAGATATTCAATATTCTGACACATGATAAAAAAAGATATTAAATGAAAAGAGAAGAGACAACATGTTTTGCACCTGAGAAGAGACGGCACTAGCAAGACGGTTTGGAATATCCTTGGGATGAGAGAAAGATTCGCCGAGTTGATCTAGTAAAGATCCTGACAACAAGCTTAAGAAAAATACATTCCCTACCAGGAAGTAGAACACCATGTTGCATGCATTTAAATCCTTCTTACTCCGTGAGATATAACCAGCTAATCTTGCCAGCCCAATCATGGCAAATGGAACAATGTATATGAAACCATTAAGAATGGCACTAGGAAGATATCCTGTGACGATGGACCTTAACCCCGGTCTGCCACAATATTTAAAAAGGATTGAAGATCAGCAACCTGCTACACAAGTTTTCAACTAAAAAACAACTGTACCTAGGAGGATTCAGTAACTACCCTACTCCACCTCAACTCTCCCTCCCTACAAAGAGAGAAAATAAAAACCAAAAGGCGGAAAGAAAAAACGATCTATCTAATTTGGAAAGAAAGAGGAGAAGATAAACAACAACGAATGAGCCACAAAGAACAAAGACAATTTTGTCCAGAACTCCATTGCATCTTCTGTCAATGCAAGGAAGAACTTTGATGTGAAACAAGCTACTCCCTCCATCCCAAATGTATAGTGTTTTATCATCTATTTTTAAAATATGGTGTTCTATTACTGTTCAGGGAATCAAACAACAACATTTGACATATTCTTGATAACAAAAGTTATGATTTATAGTACTTTTTATGTAGTTCTCAAATAAGCAATTTTGGGAACTGATGCCAATTTTACATAGAAAATTAACAGCGCTGACCCTCATATTCTCTTCCCCACAATTCTTTTCGCGGCAAGGGAAGACTTCAAAATACTAACTGTGCTTGGAGAGTATGAAGTATTACAGCATGAAACATTTTATGCTCGAGAAATCAGAAGGCTGAAATAATGAAGAGAAGAAGTCTGTACATCAAGTCCACAGCCATCGCAGGAGGAAACCATTTCTTCAGGCGTTCATATTTGGCAATTCCCTGAACAGCTGTGACTGGTAACACGAAGAAGATGGTAAGTAGTGATGCTGCAACAAGTATCACTATCCTGTACAGTGGCAAATGACGATATTGAATTGCCAAATTTTGCCAGATCACATCTCTCGGTTCTGGAGCCATTTCAGTGATCCAGAGGAGTGGATTTGTGTGCTGTTGAGATTGCGCAGCTAGAACTGTGCCCCATCGTGAACTAAATGTAACAAAAGCCACAGGCAATTCCTAAGCAATAAAAATATGGTCAAATTAAACCAACTGTTCAACTGTCAAAATAACATTAGGGAATCATTCCATGACCGGTTATAAGATCACAAGCAAATCCTCATGCACTTCTTTAAACCTCCATACATGATCTCAATAATGGCCGTCAATAGATAATATTTTCTTCATTCCTACTAAGATGGCAAATACACCAAATGACATGGACATATACCTCAAAATGTTGGCAAATCATGGTGGCTAATTCATATGAGATCAAAATTGCAACAGAAAAACTGACGCATTCCTAATGTTTCCAGGCCCGTCTTCACAAGTGGCAAGCGATAAGAGATAATTTCCTGAACAAGCAAATCCTTTTTTATATCAACTAATCAATCTAACTATGCCTCAACCTCAAACTAGTTAGATGGGACATGAACCATCTTTATCCATTCCGTTCTATTCAAAACCATTTCATTGAGTAATTTGTCCTGTACGGCAATATAAGAGTTCTCTAAAACCAGAAGTTCTCCAACTCTCACACTTATGCTTTCAATCATAATATCAAAAGACTCCTTGGGGCAGTGGCGGAGCCAAGACTTTTATTAAGAGGTATCAAAATGTAAAGTAGTAAATCAACAAAGAAGCCAAGCAGAGTCAATATATAATATATACATAAGGATTTTTTTACCTAGTTATACAATGTAATTTTCTGATGAAGGAGTGTCAATTGACGCCCCTTGAATACATGTGGCTCCGCCATGCCTCGGCATACATCAGACTAAATGTAAACAAATAACAACTAATCCTTCACCAAAAAGTTAGTATCACTATTTAGATCATATATTGTGTTTTATATTAGCTAAGTCCGTTATGGAAAATTACACAGTTCAGCTGGTTTTGAGTGAAATTGAGATAATGTTTTTAAACTGTGATCCAATCATTGACATCAATTTCTGATGAAAGCAAATAGCAAGAATTACCAGCAATTATGATACTCTTAGCTGTAACCTGGAAGCACAAGCTCAGGAAAGAGACCATACTTTATCTATCAGGGGCCCATTCCCTTCTCCCCCTCTCTGTTGTCATTTTTCTGCTCAATAAGGCATGCAAAGTTCACCCTAGAATTTTCCTTATCTTCTACGGATGACATAATTTAACACAGTTTTCTTTTAGATATATCTCACAGACTTGACATATTACCCCAGTTAATAAACTAACGACAAGGGCTAAGAGATCACTATGCTAGGCTGGACTTCTTTGACAGCATATTATGAGGGTAGGAACCACCAGACTGAAGAAAAGAGCTTCCGGGAACCACAGAAAGTATATTTGAAAGGCAAAAAATAAAATAAGCTAGCAAAACATTCTAAACTCCAGTACTGTCATTACCATCAGACTTTTGCAGTGAATACTAACCTTCTGCTCAATCGTCATTCTGCATTGTACACGTCTTATTTCACGACCAAGGGTTTGAAGCATGTCCTCCAGCTGCTCTATTTTAGCATCGTATCTACTATGTTTCTTAAGAGCAGAAAGATGCCTCAGGTCCTCAATCTTTTTGGTGAGAGACTTTGCCTGGCACTAGGATCCATACCATCTGTCAGTATCATGATGAGGGTAAAAAGTATAAAGATTGAACCACGGGGGAAGAAATTCTTAGAGGTACATATGATTTCCGCATCTATCGCATGAAAGCAGACACCTACTTTTATTCTCTATCCTTGCCCCTTGTCTTCAAGGACTACCATAGAATCCTTGGATATCAATGATACTATGAGTGACATATTCCTTTACAAGAGTTAGCTTAAAATTTTTAGTGACATTTTATTATTTATCAGTCATACAGTACAACTAAATTAATGCCAACCTTTCAAATTAAATGTTGTGACTTGACTTGATAGGATAACTGTGACACAAATAACGTGTACTAATTCATATTGGCTGGAAAGGACATCAAACACGGAGCCAGCGGCTCAACTTTGTATTCTTGCAATACTGTGAAGTGTCAACTGTTTGAAGAGTGGAAAGGGAAGAGCATTTGACTATTCAGTCATGCAGGACCAATAAAGCTGGAAAAGAATAATAAACTTCTCCATTTTTAGAATAGCGGATATTATCTAGACAAATCATAAAAGAAACTACAACTAGTAAGAAATAAAGGCAATACTTCTGCCTGCAACTTATTTATAAGGAACCAATACACAACTATCTAATGGAAATCCAAATTTAAGGAACTCAGTCTGCTTTCATTAATAAGGTAAATGACTTGAATGCACCAAAGTATAATTTGTTCTTACTAGTAGCTTGTCCAGATGCTTCCCATCATATAAGATTTCAAATGACTGATATGAATAGGGATGATGTTTGGAAAAAAAGTGGTCTACGTTGCACCCACGGATATTGTGCTCATTGCAAAATGGAATTTCTCGAACCAGAATGGTGAATTGTTCAGGTTCGCACCTTCTGTTACATATCTGCTGAATCCTTTTGATAAAAATGTCATTGTACTCCTGAAGAGGCCACGGTACAGAAAATTTTAATGTCATACAACTTTATGGATTATATCCATGCAAAATTCCCAAGAAAAAATGAAGTTGACCCAATAACTATTTTTCCATAAAGAAAGATTTCACCGAATCACAAATATAAACAATTCCAAGTTGGATAGATTGCCAACTAGAAGTGTTTCTATATATCTGAAAAAGTTATAAAAAAAAATAGGAATAATTTCAGACCTCCCCTCAGATTTAGCTCCATAACACTAACCTCCCTTGCGGTTCACGATATTAGGCCTACCTCCCTAATTTTGAGGTTTTTGTAACAACTCTTTTAGATATTAGGCCTACCTCCTTGATTCTCAATTTTTTGTAATAACTCTTTTAAGGTAATTATTGTTAATATAAAATTTTATGATCGAACTAAATTACCCTTCCTAATATACTTCTTGTTTAATTGTTTATTCTGTAAGCACATTTTAAAAGTTCTTTAAATGAATTGTTTCTTTATCACATAAATTTAGTTACTTTGCACTTGGGGTTGATTTTATGCATCGAAATCTGATTTCTTGGTATATCTTTCCAATTTGCTGCTCCACATAACGTGACAAACTTTTTATATGCCTTGTAATCATGAACTTTTTGGTTTAAAATGGTACATAGATCTGACTCAGTTTTTGTAAATGATGCTAAAGATATGATACCTGAGTCTAACTCAATCCCAAAAGCTAACTCATGAGAAAAGGATTGCCCCAAGTCCATATAAGGAGACCACCAGTCCATTCCCTAACCAGTGTGGGGCTTTACCCACTCTAACACCCCTCTTCACGCCCAGGCGAATTGAAGCGTGGACCGGGAGCCCAAGCGGGAATGGACCTGACTCTGGTAAAGACATGTGATATGGCACATGGGCCTAACTCAACCCAAAAGTTAGCACATGAGGGGAGGATTTCCCAAGTCCATACAAGGAGATCACCAGTCTATTCCCCAACTAATGTGGGAATTTTACCCACGCTAACACCCCCTTCACACCTAGGCCCTTCTGGAGTCCATTCCCCAACCAATGTGGGACTCTTACCCACTCTAACACCCCACGCCCAGGCCCAACTGGAACGTGGACCGGGAGTCCAAACAGGGATGGACCTAGCTACGATACCATGTAAAGATATGACATTCAAGCCTAACTCAACCCCAAAAGCTATCTTATGAGGGGAGGATTGTCCAAGTCCATATAAGGAACCACCAGTCCATTCCCCAACCAATGTGGGACTTTTACCCACTTTCAGAACATAGATTGCGATATTGACAAGTTCAATTGGATTTTTTTGAGGATGTTTTCACAGGGAGTAGATCAACTAGTGGTAAAGTTGAAAATGTGATTTGAGTTGAGCAAAGTGATGGAGAGAGATTTTTGAGTGAAGTGGTGGGATTGTTGGGGATGATGAGGAACACGGTCAAATGAACTTTTAAAGTGTGTTTACAAAATTGATCAAATAAAAAGTATATTAGGAAGGGAAATTTAGTCCGATCATAAATTTTTATATTAATAATTATTGGGTTCAAAGAAATGTTACAAAAGTTTCAAAATAAAGGAGAGCATAATATTGTAAACCACAAGGGAGGTTAGTGTTATTTAGCCAAACCTGAGGGGAGGTCTCCAAAATTATCCCTAAGAACACTGATTAGCTGTCAGCATATTACTGCAAAAGAGGATTTGAACAACAAAAAGAGGTTATGAAACCATTACATCTACGATGTCCTTTTTACATAACACTCTCGGCTGCACCAAAGAGGATCGACTATCTTTCTCTTTACACCCAATATCTTTTAAAGGCAAAGCAAACTCCCATTAGAGACGACAAACTTTTTCAAATATCACAACTTATCAACGATATTAAGAAGCCATAGTGGTCAAAATCAGTGTAAAGCATGACTTCAAGAGTACAAGCTAGACATTACCTTGTAAAGTAGGTACATTCCATAACACGAGACGAAACACAAGAAAGAAAAATGCACCCAAAGCCTGTGAATGACAGAATAAATGCAAAATGAGTCCATTTTGTAAGAACTCAACTATTTGACCATGTAACAGAGTGCATTCAACTAAGAGACAAGAATGAAGATGGCTATTGGCTATAAAATTTGATGCTATCTTAACGACTAATATAGAACTACGTTAAACTAAAGATGGTAACAAAAGCATTTGTACAGTCAATTCATGCTACATGCGTTATTCACATGCTGGCACACAGAACAACCAGTGACCATGGATTCAAATCTGAAAAACACATGCTCTCTTTAAAGTGGCTTGTTTCACAGTCGGTGCCCAAAAAGGCATGTTTAACACAGGGTAATCTTCAGTGAAGAGGCATCATTTTGTGCAGGAGGTGTCACTTCTGTGGAAATGAACAGAAAACGTAATCATTTCTTTATCCACTGCAGCATGACTGCGCAGTTATGGCAAATCTTTCTGAACATTGTGGGTCTTAGATAGGTGATGCCCAAAGCTACAACTCAATTATTACAATGTCGTAACAAAAGCATTAGAGGGAAGACAGCGGGGTGGAACCATACCAGCATGCATTTGGTGGACTGTGTGGAAGGTACAAGATGTTTGCAATATAATGCTAACTCGATTCAACAGATCAAGTTTGACTGTGCAGTTTGTGATATTTCAGTGCAAAGAAGAATTTGTAAATAAAATAGAACCGATACTTAGCTTTTACAATCCTAACAAGACTAGAAAGGGGTTGGTTTTTCTTTTTGGTTTTCTCATTATACATATCTCAGTACTTTCTTAGTCCTGAAGCTTTACTATGATTAACAGCTTTAAAAAATTGATTATAGTTGATGAACACCACTCTTGGAGCTTCAAATAAGAAGCAACCGTATTCTAGTTTGTTAAGACTTATTTAAGGAGTTCTTTAACAGTGATGATGTATTATGACATAATCTCATATAACCATCTAACAAGCAATACACACAATTTATGGTCTAAGCATTTTAACTACTATTACACACAGCTTGAAAGCTGTGAGCACTTAGAAATTGAGTTTTAGAAGATTCAGGAACTGAAGAAATTAGGAGAAAACATTTTCCTACTCGTAGAAACTATTGCTCACAAAGCATTTGAGACTTGACAACATCAAAATGTACTAGGTAGCTGTTCCTTAATTTAAGGATTGGAGTCGGCCTCGACTTAAATCCAATGATTCTGCTTTAGGCACAGGTAGAGGTGTCAATTTTAGCCCATGAGGATATAATACGTCCAACCTCCCAAAATTGGCAATATTTATTGGCAGTTTATTTTAGGCATAGCCAAAGTTAACCCATCTAAAAACATCCACTTTAAGCTGCATATGCAGTCAGTTTTGATCCACTAAAAACAAAGTTTATTTTGTTTGGTGATCATAAGAAATAAAAGAAAAGGCTATAATTAGTTTAATTAGGTAATAAAGCAAATAATAAAAGAACAAACAAACAAAAGAAAAATGATTATGAGTTGCGCGGTTGGCTTATGAGACAATGTTTAGCCCAATGTGACCCACACATCTTTGACCCAAGCAAACTTTAGGTGGATTATGACCCAATTCGTTTAATAATTCGACTCATTTTAATCCCCAAGTTTAGCCCAATCCATCTTAATTGACCCCCCCCCCCCTCTAATAGGGTTAGGGCTGCGACTTTGCAGCTCCTCGTCAAGCGAACATGGGTTATGAGACTTAAATTTGTTTCTACCTTAAAATAACTAGTCTGAACTCCTTAGCTAGACGGTCAAATGCTTCTCCAATCTAAATGAAAACAAAAGTTAACTCCTGATTCCTTCCTTAACCAGTTAACCATTTAAAGAAGCCAAGTGACTTGGTTCTTTAATAGCTTTAGTACACGTCATTCTCTTTCTCCAGGTCTCTTTTTAGTTGCTCTTCCAAATTAAAAAACTTGTCTCAATTCCCAATAGCCAAAATGAACTTGAAATGTGTTCACATTGCTGGACATTCAGACATCTTACGAGAAAGGTACCTGGTATATGAAAGTCAAAAAGGGGTGCTTAAAATCACTGTGCAAGACATTCCCCACTATTGTTCAAACATGTAGCTCCTTAAGGTTCTTGTTTGAAGACTTTGAGACAAGACAATAACACGATAGGGAGCTCTCTACCTCAGTTATACAACCCTTACTGCTTCCCATTCTTGCATTGATTAAACTTTATAACTTATAGAAATAAAAATTTAACAGGACTCTTTCAAAGCACATCTGGATTGTAATGTCATTTCAGAACTAAACAACTATATGCAACAGCTGTCCAGATTTTGTTACAAGAAATGAACTCAGCATTTGTATTAGCAACTTAGCATTCAAGACCTAAACGAGGTTGTGTGAAATGTGAATTATGAACTGTCATAGGACTGATAAACCAGGTTGTAGATAACACTTAGCATAGGTGAGGCATGTTATCTGCATCAACTTGAGGAAATAAGGAAGTGTTGAGAACATAACCTGTCAGAGCCTCTGCTGATATTAGATATTGTGAAAGCATCCATGGAATGAGAGCTCGTATTTGGTCCATTACTCCCAGTATAATTTAGCGGGAGAAGAACCAGAAGCCCAACAATAGAACAAACAAGAAAGAATCTGATCCTGAAGAATGGTTCCAAGCAGCAATGTGAGTTTAATCCTTGCATGTCACCAAAGATTATTAAACTAGGAATAACTTTATGTGAGAATGTGTGTTTAGTCATAGATTTTAACATGTCATATAATTAATTAACCTCATTCACCTTTCAAGATCCGTAATCCTCTACTTTGTGTCATTCTCTAACCACAAACACCATCACATTCAGAGGATAGCTCAACTTATGGAACTTCACTTTATAAAGAACCTTAAACCTAGAACTATTCTCCATGCATGACACAACATAGGATTGGTGAAGAAAAATCCTTATCTGAAGTTGTTAAACTAAAACAGTAATAATCCTTCAGAGATGAATAATATTAGTGATCAAATTCAACAAACTCAAGTAGCTCATGGAGGATAAAATGAGAGATCACTTGAAAATGGTTTGATTTTGTCCTACTTAGACCACTAGATGCAACAGTGCATAAGTGTGAAACCATGATAGTTGAAGGTGGTAAATAAAAATAAAGTTGCCTAGAAAGAGGTCCTTAGATGTGAAACCGTGATAGTTCAAAGATGTTAAAGAGGAGTACGAGGTATACAAAAATAAAGTTGTCTAAAAATACCTACAATCTCTCGGAGTTCATACAGACTCCACAAAAAATAAAGCACAATCGGAAAATAAACCATGTCGGCAACGCCAATTAGTTGAGATTATGGCTTAGGATGTGTTCGGTATGGATGAGAATATTTTCTGGAAAATGTTTTTTTTATTTTCCCATGTTTGGTTGGACAAAATTTTGGAGAACATTTTTTCTAGGAAAACAAGTTCCTTAAAAATGAGTAAAATAACTTCCTTAATAGAAGTAGGGAAAATAAGTTCTATAAGTAATATTTTATGTTTATTGTATCATTTCCATCGGCCCAATGCCCCCAACCCTACCTCTTGACTATCCCCCACCACCGAGGTCCCGCTCCCACCCCTATAGTATATTGCTAGATTACTTCTTAATGAATACCAGCATGAGAGGGGTCTAAATGGAGTGAAAGGATTCATATAATCGACCACAAGGTTTAGTCGTCGTTGTTATCCTACTTTATTAGTCTAGCTAGCTCAATTAAACTACGACACATAAATTGAGTTGAAGACTATGAAAGAAGGGCTGCTAATATCTGCATGATCTTTCATTATCAATAAACCTCTAATCACTAGTGTTTCTCTAAATTTTTTTTGTCCTTAAGGATAAATAATGAGTTTCTAAAACCAAAAAAATAACTGTAATTAAGACAATTCATATATAGCAAATTGAAACTAATTATGTAGAAACAGAGAAATTCATATAATTAGTAAATTCAGTACTCACCCAAATTTGAAGAGCCTAACAAAGACGAGGACATCAAGGCCACAATTCTGTAGAATCTCCTCCTCAGTAACCCGAACGGCACGAAAAATCCAGTCGATCTCCGGAAGCAATCGCCGGAAACTAAAAGAACGGTGGTCGGAATCAGGAACATTACGGTGGCCTAGGTAGAAGCGGCGTGCATAATAGATGGGAGCATAGAAAGGTTGTTTTTTGAGTAAAGCAAAGAGAGAGAGAATGAAAATAGCTAAGCCAAAATTAATGGCTGCTGAAACCACTACGCTCTCTAACTTCATTTTAATTTCTTCTCTTCCTTTTTCATTTTTGCACAAAAGAAGTAAATAAAAGAGCAAATATATTCTGAGTGGGGCGAGTAGCTGAGTGGCATATATACATGAAAACGTGGCGGATGTGGAGATATCGACGTAAACACCATGCATAAACTGCCTATAATTGGAGACTATTTTGGTGATGTACAACTCGTAAAAATATATTCTTTCTATTTTATTAAAGATAGTGCCAAATTAAATACTCCTCTCAACGGGTGTTCACGGGTCGATTTGGATCGATTATTGATCAAAACTAAAATCAAACCAACTTCATCGATTTTAAAATTATCAAAACCAAACCAAACCAAATATAATATACATTTATCGATTTGGTGGTTATTGGTTTCGGTTTGGTTTGGTTCGGTTATTAACCATACACAAAAATAAAAGAAAAATTCTTTCAAAATGTGAAAAAAGTGACAACAATCCATTCAAAACAAAAAAAATAGTTAGAATGACTTAAATTATTGAACTTTCTATCACTGAATTTATTATGATTAAAGCTTTAAAATTCACTATATTGGCTTAGAAGGAGAGACATTAACATTTGCAGTCCCACACACAGAGAATTGTCATTGACACTCTTATACATGAAATCAATAAAATAAATGTTTTTACCTTGGACATTTTTGCTTTCAATAAGTAAATTATAAAGAAATTATAATGAAAACATATATGAGATCTTTAAAATTGTTTATAAAAATAATATATTAAGTATGTATATTAATAAAATATTTATATATAATTCATTGGTTTGATTCGGTTATTTTTTCTATTTTTTTAAATAAAATCATAACCAAACCAAATACTATCAGTTTTCAAAAATCTAAAACCAAACCAAACCCAAATAAAATCGGTTTTATTTTATCGGTTTGGTTCGATTTTTCGGTTTGGATCAATTTTTATCCAAACCATGAACACCCCCTACTCCTCTCTATCCATAATTATTTGTCCACTTTTGAATTGACACATCTGTTAAAAATATATTATTAACATAGTGAGTTACCATTTTATCACTATTAATTATGAAGTGATGAATTAAAAATTTAAGATTTTTAGGAAGTTCTACTTTTTTTAAAAGTAATTAATTGAGGGTGTAATAGGTAATAATAATTTTGTCTTTTCTTAATTTGTCAAAATGGACAAGTAATTAGAGACAATTAAAAAGAAAAAATGGACAAGTAATTAGACACACAAAAAGTAAAATCCAAGAGAGTAATTGTTAAATACCTACGTTCGTTGGAGGTGGAGTTAATTTTTGAAGTTTATTATGTATCGTGAACTTGTAATTGAATTCATAACTTCCCTTAATTACTCGGTTCACAATTAATATGGTTTGCAATTATGATACAGTAATTTCATATTTTGGAAATTTTTGATATAGGAGAAGATTCTGAAAGAGCATGTCATGAAGGTTAAATCAGTCCATTATGATTTAAATGATATATATTTTTTAAAATTTAGTTTTAAATAACTTTCATGTCAATAATTTTATAGGAAAAATTAATTAAAATGGTTGAGTGACAAGCAGAATATTTATAGTTGAGTGACTTTATGTGAAAATAGTATGTAATTGTGTAATTTTTGTATTAATAAAAATTAAGTGACTTTATATGAAAATAGTTTATAATTAAATGACTTTCGACTTAAAAATTAAAATTGAGTAACTTTACAAAAAGCTCATAGTTGAGTGACCATATTACTCATTATCTCCTATATACTAGTACTAATTATAAATAACTCGTAAACTTTCTTTTTTTCTTTTTTTTTTTCACCGAAAGAGATGTTTTATTTATTTATATTACTGTAATTAAAAATACTACTCTATTACAAGAAGGGACTATTCTTGCCGGAGTTATTTCTAGGGCGGTTCAAAATTGAACCGAAACTGATAATTTGAATCAAAAAAATTTATTGATTTATCCGTAATGGATTATTCGTTTAGCAGTTTTGATAATGGTTTTGATTTTTTTTCTTTATCGGGTTATCGGTTCTTAACAGTTTTAGGAAAAAAATGGGTTAACCGATAACTCGATAGTAAATTAAATAATTATATTTATACCTTTTTGTATATAAAGTCCTTGATTTAGAGTTCGGTTTCCTACTTTTATTTCTGGTTGTCCCAAACTCTTAGTTATTCTACAATATAAAAGTGTTTGCTTTTGAGAAAGATGTAACTTGTGAACTCATGAGTCATGTGCATGGTTCATTTGGTTTGTCACCTTGTTTTAAAGTGATTTTCAATGTTTTTTTTTGTGTCAAATCTTAATGGTTAAACAGATAACGATCGATAAGTCAATATCTTAATAGTTCTATAACGGTTTAGCATCTCTACAAATCGATATAAAACCGAACCTACCGATACACAACCCTAATTGTTTCAAAGTTTAGTTTTTACTATTGAAAGCAATAAATACATATTTTAGAGATAAGGCATATATATTATAATGGTATTCAAGATTGGCATTTGTCAAAAGAAGCTAAGTTTTTGCCAAATTTTATCAGTACATCAGCTACATAATGGAAAGCAATAAATACATGTTGCTTCCTCTTTTTTATCTCAACTTCCCATTGTTATGAACTTCTATCTGTCTCTAAATTTAATTAATCAGTCACTAACATTATTTCATGCTCACTCATTCATTGATCTTAACCATTGTGTAACTGATAAGATTATTTTATTTTTTTAAGCAGAGATCTCGATTTTGAGTCTTGAATACAAAAAAAAAAAATTGATCTTCTCTTGAATAAGCCTTATGTGATATGAATTAGTCAGACTTCAATGTAGGTATAGGACACGGATCAGCAACCAAAATGCTAAAATAATGTACTTTCTGAAGACAACAAGTTTCATTCATCTCTAATAACCTTTTTTTCTTGTAATTTGTACAATGAGAGAACATTTGCACCATAAAAAAGTTTATCTGTATGAGCACTTACTATACAAATTTCAACATTTCAATCAATCAACAAATAATTGGAAAAAAAATAAAAGTTTTTTTGTTTTTGCTTTGTCTCAAAAGTAACTTGATTGTTGCTGCAAGAGCTCAAGTTGTGCTAATAATTTAGCCACTGTAGGTTTCAACAATGAATCCCCATTTTGTGCTAAATCAATTAGCACAACTTGTGCATATTCACCATACTCTACTCTATAAGCCTCCACTTTGAATATCTTTTCCAAAATCCACAGGGACTTCTCTTGAGCTTTTAAGTTAATCCCTTCTTCAAGAATCTTGATAATTGGTTGTACACACGACATTTTCACTAACAAGTTGCTCCCATTTTCCCAAATCTCGTCTTGTTGTAATGTTGCAAGGCAAGTTAGAGCAGCTTCGTCCGCTGCTCTTTCGTTGCCTTGCAATAGTTGGACTAGCGGAGGCATTGCCCCTGCTTTTACCAAACAGAATGTGGTTTTTATAGAGCAATGCCCATCATGTACTTGACAAAATGTGTCTGTAGAATGTGGAGGGGCACATGAAAACCATCTTGACTTTCTTGATTTCCGTAGAGTGAGTGAGTTTTGAGATAGTTGAGCTAGTGATGTTGCAGCTCTACATTTGGCTAATATTGAACCACATGTGAGGAGCTTTACCAAAACGTTGATCACCCCATTTTCGACAGAGAAGTGTTGTAGTTTCTTGACTGATGGAAGGGTGAATCGGATTAGTACTGCGGAGACGTTCTCAGATAGTAAATGTGGTGTTGTAGGTGTACTTGATGTCAATATGGAAACCAAAATGGGCAGTAGGTTTGCTTTCATAAACATATCTGTGACATTCTTGTCACTCACCGGAAAGTTGCTTAGTATGCCAACAGCAGCAGCCTTTTCATCATCCGTCGTGGATGATGATGATATGATGTTGATCAATGTATGCAGATGCATTTGTTCTAGCTGCTCCATTAGCTCCCCGCCTTGCATATCATTAGACAATACGTAAATCAAATTTAAAGCTCCATTTCTAATCTTGGTATTGCGGCTTTCTGTTAGGAATGGTAAGAGAAGGCGAACAGCGCCATTTTCCTTCATTTTTCTTCTGACCTTTGAAGCATTCGGACAAGCAGCGATGGCATTAAGTGCTTCTAACAAGTGACACTGGATTACTGGACTAGTCAGATGAAGGAGCGAAATCATCTGCTGAGCAACATCTTGTTTCACTAGTACTATGCCAACTTCCAATTGAGCTGCTATTTTTGCAAGAATTGCAGATGCTGGCTCTCTTAGAGTCATGAGCACCGATGTAACGGAGAAAAGAAGTTGTAGCAGAGTAGCAACGATGCCCGATTTTATCAGACGTTGAACGTTTGCTTTTGAGGCAGACAAGTTGTGCAACGCATTTAGAGACGATTGCTTAGCTTCTAGGTTCCCAGAGGTGAACATTTTGACTAGCGGTTCAACGGCTCCATCTTGCCCCAGGTTAGCTCTATTTTGATCTGTGAGTTCCATTCTTGAAAGTGCTGTTGCCATTAGAATCTTACTCATGTCTGATCCTGCAATCATTTACATAGAATATATATTCTACGTAAACAATTAATCAAATAGCATATTGATGGAAGTGTCCTAAATATACCTTGGTTCAAGTAGTGTACAAGAGGCTTGAAATAGCCAGCCTCAGCCATATGAAGAGCATATTAGGTATTGCCTGATAAAGAATTTAACAAGTTGGCAGCGTCATGTGACGGCATCTGATCATCCCCATTAAAAATTGCAACCAACATGACAATGCAGCCTTGAATTCTCCCGACTCTTCTCTTAACTGCAGTAACATCTGATAGACTCACTAACAGCCCCACTGCTTCTTTTTGCTCTTCCAAATCATGACCCAACGACTTCACCAGTATCTATAAATTCCCCATTTCTGCCATCTTTTCCTGCACACCAAAGTGAAAATTAACCACTCAAAACTTTCAGCGTCTTGATTCTCATTATTTGAGACTCAATAAATACTAACTGTACCTTGTGTTCATCATCTTATACGGCCAGTGCTTGTAGTA